GTGGTCGTATGTACTGGGAATACACTAAAACCCATTCATGAACACAAGAAACAGTGAGCGCGCTATGATAAGCGCGGATCCTTTCATGACGCCCTTTGCATTTTAAGTCCCTGAAGGCGAATTTCAACTGCGCAGTGTTGATGCCCACCCCGAACAAATTTCCGACACAGTTGTTGCCCTGCCGAGTGTCGCTGCTTGACGTATTCGAGCCATTCATTCGAAAAGCCATGTTTCCTGTAGGTGGCTTTGGAATTCATATATTCTGGGATCTCACCAATCTGAGTAGGATTAGCCGGTTGTTTTTGTCAAGTTAGGAATACACGGGTCTATGACACAGTTCTAGTACGACTTTTACTGTGAAAAAACTAGAGTGTTCAAAGCAGGCCTTTGCTCGAATACATTAGCATGGAATAATGGACGTGCAGTTCTATTTTTGCTTTTCTAGGACCACCGTAAGGATAGTCGAGGGCGTCAGTATTCAGCTGCCAGATGTGAAATTCTTGGATTTGCTGAAGACTGACTACTGCGAAAGCATTCGCCAAGGATTTTTTTCATTAATCAGGGAACGAAATTTAGGGGATCGAAGACGATCAGATACCGCCGTAGGTGTGCACCTCTTTGCCCTAGCGGTCACGTATCTGTGTTACAGTCTTTTTTCCTTTTCGCCAATTTGGAGACCCACGTTTTGCGGTAACGTCCACTTGTTCCCTGCGAACTTAAGTTGGTGTTTCATTCCTGTGTCACAGGTATCATGTGGATGAATCGCATCCTTGTGATTGGCAAATCAATTGACCTGCTTCACTAGAACCTTTTGGACTTCGGGAGTCCCGAGGTGCCTGATCTGTCAGTGTTCTGCTGGTGTTTCCTACGGAGGCTGAGTGAGTCCATGATTTTAATGCAGATGGAACCTTGGGATATGTGCTCAAAATGCGAGGTTAATGCATCCGTACTCGAACAAAACATCTCTCTTTTCGCCCAGCACCTTTCGCTCTTTCAAAAGATTCAACCTATGTCGCTTTGCCTCTTCCAAATCAATGGTATCGTCTGCTTGTTTCCTTACCATGTCACGTAGTTCAACAGGAAGTTTGGCCAATGCTCGCTCGAGTACCATTTCTCTCTCCTTCCACCAAGTATCTCTCTGTGGCGGTACATTTGCGGAAGAAATTATTCGTACGTGCGGGTCTACCAGATAAAACACCAGCAATTTGCGGTGACCCGGCTTAGATGAATCCACCAACGAAAATGGCGACATGCTGTGTTGGAGTGTATTGGGGAATGTGATCAGACGGCCTTCTTGAGTCGAGACCTCGTCCAGATCTTGAGTGACTGGAGTATCATCCCACGGGTCTGTGAATCCGTAAATGGCCTCAAGCCATTCATAGTGATATTGGGGGTAGGTAGTCTGTTGAATTTCAAATGGTAGCGAGCGTTGGCGGAATGCAATTTTGTGTTCGGTCACATTTTCACTGTCGTAGCAGTACATAGCTGTGGCACAAATATGTTCATTCTAAGAACCGAGGTTAGCACCAGATCTCATTTCGATGAGAGAGAAACTCACCAATTGCCCATCTAGACACCACGACTCGCCTTTGTAAGAAGGCATTTCGGGAGTCAACTCAACATTCGTCATTTTGACAATCACTTGCAATCCCTGTGGGAATTTCTGCAGATCAACGGGATCCTCCACTTCAGGGGGTGTGAAGTCTCCCGGCTCTGGGAGTATCACTGTGCAAGCATCTTCATGCGAACCAACCACCTCATAATCCCCTTCCAGAAATTCAATTTCATCGCACCGGATTCTGGCCCACTTGTTTTGAACATATGCTAATGTTAAATTCCAAAGTGGTATCGTTTGACTCAAGACATCTTCGATGATTCCGTATAGCTCCCGGTTGTCCCAAGGAGGAAGATTGTTAATGTAGGAAGTGATATGACATCTTCCATCAACCGCCACGTCGCATGGTAGCCACTGAAATCTTCGACTGTAAGGTTTGCTCTTTTTCCAAAGTTCTGACCGATATTTACTAAATGCCGGGTCGAGTGTTTGTTCCTCTGGTGGGATTGGGATGATAACCCCTTGCCCCTTATCTAGGCAATTTTCAACGCCGATCGTCTCGTCTGGAAGAATGCGAGTTCGCCCGTAAATAACAGGACAAATTGAGGGATCAACAGGATTGAAGATTTTGGACTTTTTTTCTGGACAGACTTTTCCTTCAGCAGGCTTCAGCGACCGAGATAACTCTTTTAGGGCTTTTGCAGTGGAGGCTGGTATCGCATGCGACTTGAACACCCCCGGATCCAGGGCAAACGTGAACCCTGTCTTCTGAAATTCTTGAGCTTTCCACTGGAGCTCCTTGATGATCCAGCTGCTCATCTTTGGGGTGAGATTTTCCCCGCTCGCCGTTTGTTGCAGCACGTCTTTCAAAGCCCCTTCATCAGATATCTGTTGAGAGTGAGTCCAATTATTTCTTGGCGTGTTCTTCGAGCCTCTCATTTGACATACCTTGTTGTACCAGTCTGGTGTCTCCGTGATTTTGTTGATGATTCGCATCATTACGATATCCCGATGAACATTGAGGCGGCCAACGTCCATGCCCAATTCCTCACACCGAAGTGCGCAAGGAAACCCCCATTTTGGGCCAAAGTTCAAGGGCACAGAAAACCCCGGAAGCTCTGAGGCTTTTTGCGAAGCCATTAAGTTATAGACAACTTGCGTACAAAATGGCCAAGTGAGCTCTGAGTAAGTTTTGTGGGAATGGTGCTTCAGCAAGGAAATAACTTTTGGCTTTGTTTTTCTTTCTCGGATAAATCCCTCTACCTTCGCCCACCGAAGATAAATGGTCAAGAAGTTGACAAGTGGGAAACCAAAAACTGAGTAATCCAGCCCCACTGGGCATAAACCATGACCGTAGCCCTAAACCCCTGTTTTGACCTCCGCTGTCTATAGCGCACCCTTGTCATCCCGCCCAAAAGGTTGGCTTAAAGCGACACCCACTTCGTTATACTGTGGACAGGATTCAATATTTATTATACTGTCACTGCTCTCTACATATTTCTTTTTGGAGATGTTTCTACTACATACGACCACAGGGTGTGGAGAACAGGGCTTCCCGTCCGCTCAGCCGTACTTAAGCCACACGCCGGTGAGTTAGTAGTTGGGTGGGTGACCACCAGCGAATCCTCACTGTTGTATGTTTTTTCTTTTTGATTTTTTGCGCCTGCTTTTCCTTTGCTTTATTATTATAGGATTAGTTTTAATAAAACGTTAGTGTCCTAATGTACTTACTTTGCTCCTTCTTCGCCTCGAACTCATTTGATCCTTCTGAAGAGTGTACACGGTTTCTACAGTCTCCATCTCAGTAATCCAAAGTGAATCTCCGAATCAATGAAGAATATTGTGTTGCACCTGCAGATGGGCAATTTGCATATATACTTAAGTATAGGTGCACCAACGAAGACTTGGCGAACCCTCCGCACACTGCTCAAGTGCCTCCAAGGTTCCTCACAGGCCTGTATGGAGTACATGCTCTGTTCATCTAATTTTACCACGGCATGTCGCATCGCGAATTCAAGGATCTTAAAGGCACAATAGAGCAGTATGTGCAAGGACAGTGAAATATCTGACCAGGAATTATGAGTCCTATTCTAAGGAACCCCACTCAAGCCACGACCCAATTTTCGGTTTTTCACAAGATTGGATTTTCTGAAGTGTGAAGCCTAGGCTTACAGTTTGGTTCCCCAAGTCCTCATGTGCGCATCAGATCGTCAGGTCTGGGGCTGACTTGCATTTTACCGAGAATATGACGCCACCTAATGGAGGATTTCCCCCAGTGAAATTCACGAGCGCTAGGCCGAATGCGTTGATCTTGATCAAACCTTGGGGTAAGGGAAATGATCTGCATGTCGGGGTATGGGGACACTCCCCACTAAGGCAAGGGGCAGTGAGAATCTTGAATCATTTGGGGGGGGGGGGGGGGGGGGGGGGGGGGGGGGAGGGGGAAAAAAAGGGGGGGGGAAAAAAAATATAAAAAAAAAGTAATACAAGACACACTATAAGG